CTGCAATTAAATGTCCTAATAAACATGACTGACTGACTGACTTTCTACCCCACCAGGACATCACACAAGCCATAAACAGCCGATGACACAAAGTGCCACCATGTGGATGAGGATCACCGTGGAGAGGTCCCAGAAACCGCGTTTAGCCCTTAGACCATAATTATGGCCGGGCTATATTGCGGCGCCTGGCAAGAACCAGGGTAGGGCTTCAAATAACGAAAAATGTCATCCTAAAAGGACGGGAGGTATATAGTAGTAATATACGTGAAAGATCTACTCAAAGTGGCCATACTAGTTACGATACGCAGTTCTTGTTTCATTGCTTTATCGAAAACAGCTAGGCACCAGATTTCTTTTTTTCATTTCGAGACACAAGTACTAAAAAGACAAAAAATATTGAAAGGAAATAATTATACAAATGTCAGTCCTTTTAAATGATTCCCTTTGCGAGTAAGTAATGACTGTTTTGTTTTCTAACAAAACACTGCGTCACTCAAGTCTTAGTTGTCTCCCTTTACATTCAGAGTTCACGCCCTTCCACATAAAACAGTAGCTGGACTAGTCATTTAATCAACAACGTACTTACTTTTCTTATTTCGTTTTTCTACTTATCCAAGGTTGGAAAGGTACTCACTAACACTAAAGGTCAAATGGACAGAATGGCTGAATATTTTGAAATACTTCTAAATAGACTAGCCCAGATATCCAGTTTTTAGAAATGGAACTGGATATCAACTGTGAGATACCATCTAAAAAGGAAATTAGAAATTAATCTGAAGGAAGAAAAGACGGTAGGTTCAGACTGTATACCAGCAGAAGCTATGAATGCCAAAATAAACACATGAACGGAATTTCTACACAGATTATTTAGCATAAAGTCTAGGAGACCGAAGAAATACCAGAAGACTGGAGATAAGGATATCTTACTTACCCATCCTCCCCAACTGATCTACAGTAGCGTGAGAACTATAGATGAATTATGTTGCTGTCATTTCCTGGTAAGATATTTAGTAGGATTATTTTGGAAAGACCAGATAGCCACATTACTAAATTGAATTCACCACTTTACATAGGATTCATAGACTATGAAAAGGCTTTTGACAGCACTGAAAGGAAAATATATATCTCCACCATCCTTATCAGGATGAAATTTTTTATTTGAAGCTCCACCCTGCCGGGGGCCGCAATATAGGCAGGCCATAAATATGGCCAGGTGTCTGAACGCGGTTTCTGGGACCTCTCCACGGCGATCCTCATCCGCATAGTGGCACTTTGTGTCATTGGGTGTTTATCGCTTGTGTGATGTCCTGGTGGGATAGAAAGTCAGTCAGTTAGTCAGTCACTGAAAGGAAATATCTCTGGAAATTAATGGAATACCCCAGAAAATTATTAACTCAGTGAAGGCAATATGCAGAGAAATAAAATGTCGAGTTCTTCACGGGGAGAAAGCTAACAGATACATTTGAACCAAAAAAAAAAAAAAACAACAACATGTGTGCGACAGGAATGTCTTTTGTCGGCTCTCCTATATTTATTGGCAATAGTTTGGATTATGAAGACAGCAACTGCTAACACCAAGAATGTAATTCAGTGAGCCCCTACAGACAGCTTAATGATCTGGACTTCACTGATATTTCTCTTCTGTCCCACTCACGGAATCAGATGCAAGATAAATGAAATATATTTGTTGCGAGATCACAACAGCTAGGTCTGAAACTCCAAAAGAGAAAGACAAAGATAATGAGAATGAATCAGGCAAATAATAATGGTTTTTCACTCTAAATGGTATCCCACTCAAAGACGTGGAGTCGTACATCTACTTGGGCATTAATGTAGATAAAGATGGGGGAAACTGACAGAGATATTAAAATATCTACTTGGTCAGTAATGTAGAAAAAGATGGGGGAAACTGACAGAGATATTAAAATATCTACTTGGTCAGTAATGTAGATAAAGATGGGGGAAACTGACAGAGATATTAAAATACCTACTTGGGCAGTAATGTAGAAAAAGATGGGGGTGGGGGGGGGGGGGGGGGGACAGAGATATTAAAATATCTACTTGGGCAGTAAAGTAGAAAAAGATGGGGGAAACTGACAGAGATATTAAAATATCTACTTGGGCATTAATGTAGATAAAGATGGGGGAAACTGACAGAGATATTAAAATATTTACTTGGGCATTAATGTAGAAAAAGATGGGGGAAACTGACAGAGATATTAAAATATCTACTTGGGCATTAATGTAGAAAAAGATGGGGGAAACTGACAGAGATATTAAAATATCTACTTGGGCATTAATGTAGATAAAGATGGGGGAAACTGATAGAGATATTAAAATATCGACACTCAGGGGAAAGGCGAGACGGATATACAATCAGACAGTTACTGGTACCAACGGGATTTTAACTCCTCGCTTGTTGCTGAAGATGGGGACTGATCGCTTATGGGGGGTGTCCTGAGTGCTGTAATGTCGATTCCTAATTTAACATTCAAAATTCTCTTCCACAGAAATAATTAAACAATTATTTATTTTGTGAATGACTGACTGACTTTCTACCCCATTAATACATCACACAAGCGATAAACACCCGATGACACAAAGTGCCACCATGTGGATGAGGATCGCCGTGGAGAGGTCCCAGAAACCGCGTTCAGACAATTGGCCATATTTATGGCCTGCCTATATTGCGGCCCTTGGCAAAAGCCAGGGTGGGGCTTCAAATAACAAAAAATTTCGTCCTAAAATGGACGAAATTGGATAATAACAAAACCAGAGTAGTATTATTTTGTGAATAACGTTGGCTACAGATCTACTCCTCGACTTCCTAAACAGTTAACTGTGTCTTCTTTACAGCATGTCGCAGAAGCTACACCAGCCATTTTGGCTTTGTGTGTGTGTGTGTGTGTGTGTGTGCGTGTGTGTGTGTGTGATTTTGTTAGGACATTTTACGTTCAGTAGTTACCATTGCCCTAAACGGTCAGGTCTCGGTACCGTTGTCGAAACCAATGCAAGGCGATCTGCTGTAAAATCGTCTGCAGTTGTGATTTAACTCGGCATCCCGGCGTTACAAACCATTCGCCACGCTTCAACCACAAACAGATATTGAGCATATCTGATCTTTTCTAAACACTAAATGTAAATGCTACACTAAATGCGAAGTTGAGTTGACATTATAGCTAGTGGTTGTGGGGGTGGGAGGGGGTGGGTGCTTATGTTAAATTAAGAATCGACATCACATAAATCAGGGCACTTCCATAAGCACTCCGTCCCCATCTTCAGCAGAAGGATAAGAGTTCCAGTTTCGATTGCATCAGAAACTGTCTATATATCGTTCTCGACCTATACCAGAGTGTTGAGCATCTGCCAGATCCCCTGGTAACTCCTCGCAGCTTCATTCTCTTCAGACCGTAATGATCTGTCTATGCTTCAGCACTGTTCACTCGCTCCTAAAGGGCCCTTACAATATCTGGCTTGTCATCACTTAATCACCAAGAGCCAGCCAGTCTATCTGCCTGCTCATTTCCCAACACACCAGTATAATCTAGAGAAAATATGGTATCTGCTTAGTGTTGAATGAAGGAATCAATCAAGAATTGATATCTTTGCATCCGGGATATTTCCCATAAGTGCTTTATCTCCTTCCGCAGTAACCAACTTTGAGTTCCCATAATCCTGTTGTAACTTAATTAAAAGTTCACCGGTTTCTGCCCTTGCAGATAGAAAACCATCCACACCCTCGCTCATTTCCTGCAAAATCATTATGTCTAGAAATGAATGCTCCCTCTGTTACTGCTGCACTGTTTATTGAACCTACGCTAGTCAACAAAGCACATGGCCAGTTCTTTGCTAGGGAATTGATGAATAGCAAACCAGATATTGTAAAGGCTCTTTGGGAGCGAGTGAACAGTGCGAAGGTACACATAGATGATCACGGTCTGAGGAGAACGGCGCCTCGAGGAGTTACCATGGGATCTGGCCGACGTTCAACACACAAGGGAAAAGCGAGACGGATACACAAACAGTTACTGGTGCCATCCGAATTGAAACTCTTTGCTTGCGGCTGAAAATAGGGAGGGGGCGCTTATGGGAGTGTCCCGAATGATGTGATGTCGATTGACTGTAGAAACGAGAAGACATTTAAGAGTTAAATGCACACAGATGACAATGACTTGGTGTCCAATTTCGAGGATATGAGTTGTCCGTTAAAATTCATCCGAAATCAGAACGCTAAAGAAGAAAATAGAAGAAAAAGAAAAAAAAGAAGAAGAAAAAGAAGAAGAAGCAAAAGAAGAAGAAGAAAAAAAGCAGAAAAAAAAGAAGAAGAGAAAAGAAGAAGAAGAAGAAGAAGAAGAAGAAGAAGAAGAAGAAGAAGAAGAAGAAGAAGAAGAAGAAGAAGAAGAAGAAGAAGAAGAAGAAGAAAGAAGAAGAAGAAGAAGAAGAAGAAGAAAGAAGAAGAAGAAGAAGAAATAGAAGAAGAAGAAGAAGAAGAAAGAAGAAGAAGAAGAAGAAGAAGAAGAAGAAGAAGAAGAAGACAAAAGAATAAGAAAGAAGAAGAAGAAGAAGAAGAAGAAGAAGAAGAAGAAGAAAGAAGAGAAGAAGAAGAAGAAGAAGAAGAAGAAGAAGAAGAAGAAGAAGAAGAAGAAGAAGAAGAAGAAGAAGAAGAAGAAGAAGAAGAAAAAGAAGAAGAAAAGGAAGAAGAAGAAGAAGAAGATGAAGAAGAAGAAGAAGAAGAAGAAGAAGAAGAAGAAGAAGAAGAAGAAGAAGAAGAAGAAGAAGAAGAAGAAGAAGAAGAAGAAGAAGAAGAAGAAATAGAAGAAGAAGACAATGACGTAAAAAATACGATGACTACGTCATACTATGTTTGAAAGCAAATCACGGCCGCGCCATCTTTCATCTGTTTGCCTGCATCGTGCAGATGTTCCAGCGCGGGCATTTGACGGACAGCATAATCTTCTTTCACTAAACAGTTTTGTTGAATTCTACAATTTCTCATCAAGATGTCCAGCGAAACGATTGACACGCAGCTGGTATTTAATCGTTTTATATATATGTAAATATATTGTTCATTTTAATTTTATTGTTCACACAGCCATTTGTCTCCCAGTCGTCGGTTTTAGATGTTAAATGGACTGTCCTGAATGACCATGGGAGTGATCACCTACCATGTTCAGTCTTGATTTCTAAACACAGTAAGGTTAAGGCTGGGAGAACACGCAAGACCTTCCAGTATAAGTGGACCAACAACCTACTTGGACGCCTCAGAACGGGGAGCATGCAAAAGAACTGCCAAAACTAATTTTCTACAGCCCCCATGGTGGACTCCAGAAGTAAAACAGGCATGGAAGGCAAAGAGAGCCGCAGTGAAACAGCTAAAGAAAGTACGACAGACACCCTCAAGCTCACGAGAGGAAGTGGAGATGGCGGAGAATGTGAAAAAAGATAAGGTGGAGGTTTTCAAGCGCTGTGCTGCAGAGGCCAAAAGAGGAAAGTGGGAAACTTTTGTGAATGACATGGGAGGCGATAAAACATTGGGGAAATTCTGGAAACTGCAAAGGCAGCTGCAAAGAAAAGATCGGCCTAAACAGTCGGAACAATTTGTAGAGACGATGGTGTGCGTGTGACAACAGACAAGGACTGACTGACTTTCTACCCCACTAGGACATCACACAAGCGATAAACACCCGATGACACAAAGTGCCACCATGCGGATGAGGATCACCGTGGAGAGGTCCCAGAAACCGCGTTCAGACAATTGGCCATATTGATGGCCTGCCTATTTTGCGGCCCCTGGCAAAAGCCAGAGTGGGGCTTCAAATAACAAAAAATTACGTCCTAAGAAGGACGTAAGGAGTATATATAAACAGACAAGGAGAAAGGGGAGGCTTTTCTCCATAGGTTTATAGCTCAGACAATTCATAATGATGTAGACATCAGGGATGCAGTTAGAAAGGAGTTAGCTGGCACCTTGAAGAATATGCACTATGAAGACATGATACAAGTGGAAGATAACAAACACATTTTGAAAAAAGCAAAAGACACTGCACCAGGGCCTGATGGTGTCAGATATGGTCACATGAAGGCTTTGAGCGATGTAGACCTGGCAGAGATGGCCGACTGTTTTAACCAGAGTATTAAGACAGCATCAGTACCGCAAGACTGGGTGCACAGCTATCTAATCCCACTACCAAAACCTTTTAAAGATCATTCTAAGCTTAGTGGCTTTACCTTACAAAACACGTTTAGGAAGGTCTTGGAGAAGATAGTTGCTGTAAAGTTACAAGAATTTTTGGAAAGGGGGAAGCTTCTCCCAAGAGGTCATTGAAGTTACAGGCCAGGAAAGGACACTTGGGCAAATGCGGCCACTTTCAGAACAGACAGGAAACTATGGCGGTAGGACTGGATCTCGAGGATGCTTATAACAGAGTAAGATATGATATCTTAATGACTGCACTGAGGGAGAAGGAGGTCAATCCATGGCTGGTGAATTGGGTTGCAACTGTTCTGTATTCACGTCGGGTTGCTCTCCGACTGGGCTCATGGACCTCTGAACCATGCACTTTCACCCCAGGACTGCCACAGGGATCCGCCATCTCGCCTGTGCTCTTCAGCGTGTATACGAGCAAGATTGCAAGCCTAGAAGCATCAGGAATTGGAAGGATACTGACTTTTGCGGATGATATACTTGCATATAGGCAGGGGGAAGAGAGAGAAACAAACAGCTCGGGAGCTACAAGCGACAGTAGACAAAGTGGCTGAGTGGTGTACATAAATGAAGGCTGTCGTCCACCCGGAAAAGGCGTCTGTTTTGTGGTGTTCTCTGGACAACAGAATCGTTAAAACTAATGTTCCAAGTCTCACGATGGATGGTAGAGACGTCAACAGAGAGAGCAAACTAAAGTATCTGGGAATTACATTTGACAGGAGCCTGTCATTTAAGGACCATGTGGGGAGTGTTGTGACGAGATGCCAAAAAGGACTTAGTGCACTTAAGACTATTCCTGTAATTGACATAGAGCAGAGAATGCTTTTCACACTATATCAGCACCTGATCCTGTCAGTGGTGGATTATGGCCTGGGACTGCTTACCGTCTCAAAGAGTCAGATGGACAAACTAGAGCGCATACAGAACGCGGCTATGCGTGTCATTCTGGGTTGCACCAGAGACACCCTAGTGGTGTGTATGCGATACATCCTTGGTTTGCCGATGGTTGCAGGTAGGCACAAGGTGATGCAGGTGAAGTCATATCTCAGGGTAGCTGCAGACACAGACCACTCTCTGCATGAAGCTCTGGATGCAGTTAAGGGTCAGCGGCTGATAAGAGGGGGGTCATGGATGGCTCAGGCAGAAGACACAATCAGACAGGTTTGCATCCTTGAGAACATTAGGGGAGGAGATGAGTGGGTCAAAGTACCACCTGAGCAGTCAGACTTGTGTAGAGTCATAATCACGCTGAGCCGGGAATGCAGAGACTGGCCAGCAGGTGCCACAGAGGTGGAAATTCAGCAATTAATTCAAGATAATGCTCGCTCAGAGGATTTGATCATTTACACAGACGGTTCAGTGTCAAGAGGCAAAAGAAGTGCTTGGGGCTTTTTAGCAAAAGTTAATGGTCGACGTTTGGTGCAGGAGAGCCTAGCATATGATACCACAACATCCAGCTTAAGAATGGAGGTGGAGGCGGTCACTGCAGCTTTCCGCTGGCTAGAGGACACACACACACATTGTAATTGTAACTGATTCAGAAAGCATGCTGAGGAAGATCAGAACAGGTATGCTTCGTGCAGAGTGGAATGCTTCGCTGCGGAGGACACGAGTGAGGAGGATTGTCTGGATTTTTTCACCGGGTCACGCCGGTGTGTTGGGAAATGAACAGGCTGACAGACTGGCTGGCTCTGCACAACTTGGTGGAATACTGCTACATGATAGGGCAGACGTGGTTAGTGCCTTGTGAGAGAGCGTGTACAATGCGGAGGAGCAGATGGATCACCACAGTCTGGTGAGATTGATGCAGTTGGGGGTGACGAGAGGTTCTGGCAGAAGCTCAAGGCTCAGAGGAAAAGCAAGATGGACGTTTTATCAGAAAGCTACTGGCACCATTAGTATCGGAACTCTTCGCTGGCTGCTGAAGATGAGGACGGAGCGCTTATGGGAATGCCCCGAGTGCTGTGATGTCGATTCTTGAATCAAATCAAATCAAATTAATCAAATCATGAGACACGGGTAGTAAGAGACGCTGTAGCACCGGCGAGGATCCTAAAATACTTTGGGTAGATTTTTAACTGCACATTTTTGTCCAGGCAGCGCCATTGGGCTGCTTTTTTCGATTTCCAACTGCCAAGGGATTTTTTACGTGCACAGGGCGTCCGATCTCACTGTCCAGAGACAGGGGGATTTACTAAAGTCCAAGCCCACGTGAAAAAATCCCTGCCTTTACCCGGAATGGAACCCGGAACACTCGAGGCGGACACCATGCCTCGAGTCAACGCAGCCCCCCCCCCCCCTCCCCAGCATTTCTAAAAAATACAGGGCTAGCCTTATATGCCCATGCGCATGAAAGCATAGAAAAGAGTCATAAGCTTTACTGGTGCTGCAAGAAATAAAGCCATGCTTGTTTCTATCAGTGTTAAACAGTCCATGCTCACTTAATTTGAAACGGATTTTTTTCTTTTTCCTTTTTAGGAACCAGAAAATGCGGCAGCCGATGAGAAAGAAGCAGAAGCAGAAGCAGAAGAGCTGGACGATGAAGAGGTTGAGAGTACCAGGCCTAGCGTCATGTCGCTTCAAAATGTCGAGGTCAATAAGCCAGTGTCATTCCACGCTGGAGAATTTTCATTTCAGATCAAATAAATTAGATAATTAGCCTGGGCTTCTGGGTCGACATTGTTTACAATGAATAATGTTCAATTAAAATAACAAGCTCTCCCTCTCTTAAAGTCCATTCCATGTGGCATTGGTAGTCATGTCTATCCACAACCTTCTGTCTCTTGTACTTTTAATCAACTCTGACACAGATGATCTTCCATGCCATGGGGGCAGACTGTTCAGCATGTGTTCTCTGGGTCTCCCACTGTCTCTCCTCCCCTCCAACTTTCCTACCGTCACGATGTTCTCTAGTTTTCTCCTTCACATCACATGACCAAAGAATGTAGATTGTCTCTTTCTGATGTTGGCAATCAGGTCTCTTCGTGAGTCAGTTTCTTTCAAGACGTCTTCATTACTCTTTTAATCTGTCAAGGGTATTCTCATCATTCGTCTAGAAAAGCACATCTCCGCAGCTTCCAAATAATTTTGTATCATAAGTAATAGTACAGGGAAGTAACCACAAAGATCAGACCAGTGGCAGCTCGTGTTACAATTAGATAAGACGCTGGTTCAGAATCCAACAAGTAACCATAATTCTGAAATACCCGGCTATCCCACTAGAGATAAACATACAAATTATAAATGCAATCTTCCTACTAACCTTGTGCTATCTGTGTCAAACTTTTACACTGACTAAACAACAATAAAGCAAACTAACCATTTGCGAATGTTTGAGAAAGACCGTGAACAATGCTTTAAGACATCGTGTGAGAGAGGAATTACAAGAACGATTGGAACAACGTCTATAATTATATTTATTTACAACAACAACAACAACAACAACAATGGTTGGGCCATTCAGTGAGAATGAATCCAATGATACCATCAATGAGAACGTGTGGCGGAAGAGTAGAAACATCAAGATGTAGGGGATGACCAAGATGAAATGGACTGAAGGAGTCACTGATATCCTAAATCTCCACTTCACAGAATACAGGTCAGCCAAGCGTGCCCTAGCTCGGAAACTGATCCTCTGTTAACCGGCGACACCTAGCGGCACAAAGTAGAGAAAAGGCAAAAGAAAGAAGACTAGCTGCTTCAGAGACAATTTAGTCATTGTTTTAAAACGGTGTGGAACGAAACAAATATTAAAAGAAAATGTATGCATAAACTAGATAAAATCCTTAGCAAATAAATTGTTTAGTACTAATAGCCTACATTGTTGTAGCTCAAGGCTGGTCTAATTATTTTAAAACGAAATCCATTCTTCTTGTTCTATTGCGTGCAAAAAGCTTAATAAGACAGGATCGCTACTGTGTATCTTACCTCGTACAACAAAACGCCGCATCGCTAGAGGTGTGAAATGTACAGATGCGTACATTTAATATGTTTTTGTTTTCCCAATGAACTGGGGAATTGTTAATGATATAACCCTTAAGGATTTTTATATGCACAAGTATAAACACAGGGGAGTCAAAGTCTCATTATACTGAATGTTATCGATAATGTTTGGTAAAATAGCGGGTGCTCCAGTTCCGCAATGCCTGTGTGTGTTATGTGTTATTGCAGTAATGCTGACTGCTTTTAATATTGTTAGCTTCTATCATGGCTACCAGTTTAGGGTTTCCACATTCTAGCTAGCATTTTGCTTCACGTGACCTTGTCGCACACGTGCACAGTTTCCAACTTGGGAACAAACACAACTATCTGCAATTAACAATGCAGAACGGCGCTCAGGTTTCGATGTCAATCACAGTTTATTCAGTCACAGTCATCGCTGCTAACTTCCACAAGAATCCTACAGTAATCATTCGCACAACGTTTCGCACACTTCAGACTACATTACAACCGTCTTCCTCAAACTCTGGTACCCAAATGACCAGTGTTGCCACTTTTCTTTGACAAAAAACATCCAAAATGGGGACCAAAAATATCTAAAAACGTGGAAAACATCTAGAAAAAACATCCAAATAAAAGAGTCACAAATTACATAGCAATTGATATGACCTACCCTATAAAATCATGTCCTCATCTTTACTGAAGTCTGCCTCACAAGATCCACAAGATAAACTTAGCTTGGATGATGAAGTTGAAGCTTCAGATCCAAAATGACTCTAGTATGCTTTAGCTGTTCCAATTTCTTTTAATACCCATACCCATTCAGGGAGCTGATAAGTGGAACAGCCTTTTCCTTCTCTTATTAGGCCAAATTTTATTGTCTAGATAGCATTTAGAAGGTTCAATTTCATCATGTTTTTTTAGGTTATATTTAATAAATTCACTACAAATAAAAAACATCTAGAAAGACATTTACCGTCTAAACGTGAAAACGTCATCTAAATGCAAAGAAAACATCTAAATCTAGATGTAAAACATCCAAAGTGGCAACACTGCCGGTAGCCCATCTCGGGATTTTTCTCGCTATCTTTCCAGTCCCCGAGTATCACCTGTCGTCGTCTTTTGCACCGGTTTTCTGCTTGGCTTGCTGTGAACGTGGGCCTCACGCAAAGCATGCCCCTCACATATCACATTGAAAACAAATATGCCTGGGGGTACTGCGATAATAAAAGTAAAGGTCTCTTTACACATCATACCAATTGACCATCAATGGGTGATGTGATTAACGTTAGGCCAGTCGTCTTTACTTGCTGCTTCCATAGACGAGGAACTGCAGTTCTAGTGTCGGATCGTTTAAGTTAGAACCTCTGACGGCTTCCTTGTGGCCAGAATTTGAGTGTATGCTGCTGGCTTTGTCGGGACTGCAGTCTGTGTCAATTTATTACATGGGACCGCGATGGGCAATGTGTGTGGTTTTCGTTGCCACAGGAAGGAAAAAGCTATGGCGGGACCCGTTTGTTGCTACAGGAAGGGAACAACTGTGAAGGGACCCGTTTGTTGCTACAGGAAGGAAACAACTATGGAGTAACCCGTTTGTTGCTACAGGAAGGGAACAACTATGGAGTAACCCGTTTGTTGCTACAGGAAGGGAACAACTATGGAGTCACCCGTTTGTTGCTACAGGAATGGAACAACAATGGAATCACCAGTTCGTTGCTACAGGAAAGGAACAACTATGGAGTGACCCGTTTTCTGTGACGCTAGAACTGCGATTACTTGATATCTGTCTTGTCCTAAAAAAATATCGTGACACAGATCCTTCTTATACGTATACACTCATTAATTATTGACACAAATCTGATGTCTTATTTCAGAGATATGGGAGAACGTCTCCTGGCATTTCTCATACAAAGCCTCTATCTCACAATTAATTACATAGATCCGCATTTTTGTTTCGGAAACGAGGAGAATATTTGACACAGACCATTCTTAAACACAACGCCTTATCAGATATTGACACAGATAATCTGTCTTATTGCAGAAACACGATTTCCAGACACACATTGCCACTCATCAGTCATTCACCATCGTCTTCTTCTTCGCGTACATCGGCTGTAAACCCAGCAGGAAATTTCTGGTTGTTCGTCCGCCTCCTGATTTTAGTCTTGTTTCAGAACCGAGTGTTGCGTGCAGAAGCGTTTTATAGATCTGATTTACTTTGTATACAGAGTTTCGGTTGCTTGCCTCTGAGACAGATGCACTCTGACTTCGAAGGATGCCCCCAAATAGTCGACTTCTACGACATGCTTGTTGGGGAGGCAGTGGGTCTATTCTTGTTTTATCTACAATGGGGTCCCAGAAGACACCCCAGGATCATCAGGCCTTATGCCTTATTCCAGAGACAAGTAGAATTACTGAGATATGCGCCTCTCATACGTAGCCCTCATCAAAAATGTCTTGTTCCAGAGACAAGGAGAATTCATGAGATATGCTTCTTTTAAACATCTTTATGTCTTATTTCAGAGACAATAATAATTCATGAGATATACGCCGCTTATAAGTAGTTACGTCATGTTCCAGAGACAAGGAAAATTCATGAGATATGCTTCTTTTATGCATCCTTTTGTCTTATTTCAGAGACAATAATAATTCATGAGATTTACGTCTTTTATAAGTAGTTACGTCTTGCGCCAGAGACGAAAAGAATTCATGATAACGCTTCTCTCTTAAACATCCTTATGTCTTATTTCAGAGACAATAATAATTCATGAGATATACGCCTCTAACACGTAAATCCTCATAAACAAACTCGCATAGATCTTATGTCTTGTTTCAGGACCAGGCAGAGGACGTGACACTAAGTATGTCTGCTTCTATAAAGGACATATACAAGGATATGGAGCCGCCTTTACAAAGCAGGTCAGTCATGCGTATCACCACGGACGCGGAGGACGCGATTCTCAAGAATGTAAGTAAACAAAAACAAAACAAACAAGAGACCTCTTTTCACGCCTTACAGCATACTGGACATTTAGGGTTTGATCTTTATTTGACAGATCAAGTGGCATTTTGTGGGTGATGCGTCAACACCACGCCGGTCAACTTTACTTCCAAAGATTGTACCTAGATTTTGAGGTTTTGAACAACGGATCAACATCATAGCACACGGGTAGTAACCCATAAGTGCTCCGTTCTTCTTCTAACTCAAGTGTGAGTCCGAAGAAGCTCAGGACTGTGCACAGGCTCTGTAGCACCGGTGAGGATCCTGAAATACTTTGCGTATATTTTAAACTCAAAACTTAGCCCGGGCAGCGCCGTTAGGCTACTCTTTTCGATTTCCAACTGCCAAGGGATTTTTCTACGTGCGCATACGGGCGTCCGATCTCACTACCCAAAGACTACGACGAATTACTAAAGTCCAAGTCAACTTGAAAAAATCCCAGCCTTTACCGGGGATTAAAACCGGAACCTCTAGCAGTCGAGGCGGACACCATGCGTCGAGACCACGCAGCCCCTTGACAGCACCTAGTACCTACTCAAGGCTGGGAGTCAAGGTCATCCTTAAAAGAATCCAGGTCAGCTAGGACCCGAACTCTGAAAAAAAAAAAAAAAACCTGATCGTTGACAAGTTCTACAATAACCGAAAACCGGGATAGATTACTATGAATGAGTGACCGTGTCCTTATGTTTGGTGCAAGAGTTGTCTATGGCTTTCTATCTATCTCTATCTTCTATTACCCCACCAGAACATCATACAAGCGATAAACATCCGATGACACAAAGTGCCACCATGTGGATGAGGATCACCGGTGGAAAGGTCCCAGAAACCGCGTTCAGCCATTTGACCATATTTATGGCCGGGCTATATTGCGGCCCCTGGCAAGAGCCAGGTTGGGGCTTCAATATAACGAAAAATTGCATCCCACAAGGAGATGACTAAGTGAGCATCTTTGGCTTTGAATGTGTGTTTCTTTTATATTAAAGTAGTCGGTACCTTGAACGTAAAACCTATTTACGATGCTTCTGTTACAAGCCCCACCTCCAGAAATGACGTTGGCTCCCAGATCGACCCAACGTTAAATGGGTACCAGGTTCTGGGAAGCAAAAGCGGCCGGCATGTCGGCCACATCCCCCACCGAATAGTCTATATCATATATGTCTAGCCCTATATGCCCAGGAGGCCTAAGTCGTGTTAAAGAGCCCTTAGATTTATTTACGCCCGCCCCATAACATAATCATTGAAGAATTCAGGGGAGTAGGCCACATGGACAAGAAATGCTCCTTTAAGGAAAGCTTTAACGCTAGACACGAGAGACTAGAGGCGGATGGGGTTGTTTATTATTATATCCTACCTCAAACAGAGGAAAATCCACAGGTCACGGGACAGTCTAATATTTTAGGGGGTAGTAGATAGGCTGCATGCAGTCGTGGGGCCTAGGCTGCATGCGGTCGTGGGACCTAGGCTGCGCTCTCTCGTGGGACGTAGGTGGGTTGGGTTTAGGGTCAGCTCTAGATGTTTCAAGGTGTATCATTTGGGGTCGTTAAAGGCTTCAGAAAGCTGGAAACCCATTCTTACCACCCTCTAAACTGTTGGGCTGTCCTTTGAACGTCATCTGAGGTAGGATATCAATAAAGAACTGCCGATGGTTCTATAGCAGCGGTTGTCAACCTGTGGGTGGCGACCTTTTCACAAGGGTCGCCTAAAACCATCGGAAAACATATATTGATTGAAGTTATGGAGGAAAATAATTGTTTGGGGGTCGCAAAAACATGAGGGAACTCTATCAAAGGGTCACGGCATTATCAAGGTTGAGAGCCACTGTTTTACAGGAAATGGATTCGCAAGAAATCCAGACTAGACTTCGGGGTTTGGAGAGTAATGACGATGTTCCAGAAGATGATGGCATGATTGTGTTTGAAAATATTTGCAATTTTTCAACTAAAAAAAAACGACATCCCCCGAAACGTAAGCCCTACTGTATTTTTGAAGCAGAAAATAATATAAGACCCGGTCATAATTTTGATCGGATTCGCCGTGGTATAACGGCCTTACGCTTACCTGTGAATAAGAAGGTGGTGGGTTCCGGTCTTGACAGAGCCTGACTACCCCCCTCCCCTTACTAAAATTATCTTTGCTCCCAGGTCGACAAAGCTTTGAGCGGGTACCAGGTGCAGTCCTGTGAAGTAAAGGCGGCCGGGTGTGATGCTGACCACCAAGTGCCGATTGGTCTATAAAATATAGGTCTAGCCCTATATATTCAATACACCTGAGGGTGGCGAAAATTATCCTTTACTTTTTTTTTGGTGGTGGTGGTCATGGGGGGGGGGGGGGGAAGTGGGCAAAATTTCAATGGAACTCGGCCGTTGTCGTAGAAAAGGTTTAAAGTTCAGGGTTACAGTTTTTGAGTTTGAATTCAAGTAATATTTATGGGACGGTAGGTGTTAAAAAAGCGTTTGGATATAGCGGATTTACCTAACAGGAAAATGAGGCAGAAGGTATTAAGAAATACAAATTTTTAATCGTACCGTGTTTCCCTGAAATAATACCAGGTATTATATTAACTTTTGCTTCCATTATGCACTAGAACTTATTTTCGAGGGATGTTTTTTTCCCCCCCCTGATTTAAAAATCTAAATTTATTTATGTGATAATGTTGGATTAGGAATCACACCACTCAGGGTACTCCCATAAGCACTCCGTCCCATCTTCAGCAGCAAGCGAAGAGTTCCAATTCCTATGATACCAGTAACTATCTGATTGTGTATTCGTCCCGCCCTTGCGTTGAGTGTTGAACGTCGGCCAGATCCCCTGGTAACCGTCCGCAGTGCTATTATTCTCAGACCGTAATGATATATTTGTGTCACCGCTCCCAAAGGGCCGTCATAAATATCTAGCCTGTCATTCATCAGTTCATCACCAAGTCGTGCAGAACTGGCCAGTCTATCTGCCTGCTCATTTCCCAACACACCGATATGACCTAGAGAAAATATCCAACGGACGCCAACTACCCAGGACATCTGCACGGAGCATGCCTGACTCTACCCTTCTCAACATGCTCTGTGAGTCAGTTACCTTTACGGCTGATTCTCAGGAAAGCATAAGGCAGCTGTGACTGCCTCCACCTCCATTATCAAACAAGACGTTGTGATATAATATGCCAGGCTGTGTTGCACTAAGCGGCGTCCATTCTCTTTTGCTAGGAATCCCCATGCACTTCGTCTACCCCTCAGTACAGAACCATGTATATAGATAATCACATCACCCGAGCGCGATTTGGCCTGAATCATTGGTTGAAACTGTGATTCTGCAGCACCAGCTTACCAGTCCCTGCACTCGCCTGCCACTCAAATTGATAAGAACCCTACAAAAGTCTGAAACCTGTTCGGACACTTTGACCCACTCCTCTGTCTGCAAACATGTCTAATTGTGTTTTCAGCTTGAGCCATCCAAGACCTTCCTTTTTCACTCTGTGACCCAAAGTTCTACCCAGGGCTTCATGCAGGAGGTGTTTCTTGTCTGCAGCTACTCAGAGAAATGACTTTGCCTGTAGAACTTTGAGCCTATCTGCAATAGTAGGCAGTTCAAGTTTATAACGCATACATACCACTGGTGTATCTCTTGTATATTCCCGAATTACCTGCATAGCTTCATTCTGTAGGCGTTCAAGTTTCTTCTGTTGACTCGTTGATATGGTAAGCATTCCAAGACCATAATCTATCATCGTCAGAATCAAATGATGGAACATTGCGAATAGCATTCTTTGTTACATGTCCATTGCTGCCATAATCTTGAGAGAATTGAGTCCTTTTTGACGTTTCACCGCCTTGTGTGATAAACCTCCATTTATTAAAATACAGTCATCTCATATTCTTCTGGAACAACGTCATAACTCTCCAAATCCAGAATCATCATCATCATCATCATCAGTCAGCATGTTTTTTTACAGAACGTCGCTCTCTTCACGGCGCGCCTTAAGGTCCCTCCTTTTCTAGCCAATAATCTGGCCCTTTGTTCTTTCACAGCCCAAGCACCTTCAATGTCCTGTGTGCACATTTATGAAGGTCGGCCCCTGCCTCGTTTTCCGGAAACGGCACCCTACATTATCGTTCTCTAAAGACCATCATGGCGCTTGACCTGTCTCAAATACCTCACTGCTCTTTGCCAGAAATCCGGAATTCCGGCCTGCAATTTCTTCCGACTCCCTCTCCTGTAGAAGCAAGTCCATTCATTATAAGTGCGCATCAGTGGCATGTATTTTCCGACTGGCCATTCGGCAACAAGTCTCTCATTCCAGCTGACGATCTCAACTAGGGCTTATTTTTTGGGGATTGGGGGGGGGGGGGGGGGGGGGAGGTTTATATTAAACGCACCCTGGAAATATCGTGCAGGAGATTATTTCAGGGTAGGTCTCTTTTTTTTCCACAGGGGAAAGATAACTGCATTGAATGAATGTCTGATGATTTGTCTGACGCTAGAAAAGTTGCCATAGGAATGCTATGTAAGAGTTGCTTATGACTGTAATAGTTGCAATACAGGGTTTTTTCAAAATAATCAAAGCAATGTTTCCCCGTTGTAAATTTGAACAAAGAAGACACAAACAATAGACTGCACAATTTATTGCCTGGCATATTTCGCTGTATCTCATCAGGTGCATACTTCAGTAACAATTAATTAAAATGAAGCAAATAGCTGAATCCTAGAAACTGAAACACAAATTCGAGTAGATTTCAAACTGTTTCACCAAGGTAAACGTAGGGCAACGACCATTTCCTTTTGCCTACAAAGTTCCGGTTTCAATCTGCCAATCGCTGAAGCTTCCGCGTATCGAAGTAATCTACGGTTAGCCGAACTGTAAATAATTCGGAATGCATCATCCCTGTTAATGATATGCCCGGAATTCAGAATATGGCACGCACTTGCTGATTATGGATTATACCGGCCAGTCGCCTGATTCGTTGTTGTTGAGG